TAACCTTTGACTCTTCCTCAGACTGCACCAACTTGACATGGAAGGGAAGTCAACGTTGCTTGGTTGTATTGGACTATACTGACCTGTGGTACCTCACGCAGCAGGGATTTCTGACTGCCTTAACTACTGCTCAGTCTGGCCAGCCATCCATTTGTGCTTTCTAATCGAAAAATAATAATTAAAAACACATGTCCTTCTGATCCTCAGTTTCTTCCTTGGCACCAGACACACTGCTGTTTTTGCCTCACCATCCAGTTTTCTTTTTCGCCCTGTGTGACTGGCTTTGGGGCAACCGCATGTTCCAATGCTGATGAATCTTTCAGCATCTTCAAAACTAGCTATCATAACACTTCTAGCTACTATTTTGTGCCAACTTAGTCTTTTTAGAAGTCCTACCTGTGATCTCTCCAATAGCATCCAAGACGGACCACAGCAGCACCTGCCTAAAAAAGCAGCAGTGACTTTACAAGAAACTCTGCTCTAAAATCCTTTCATTACGCTGATACAGTATTTTTGCCACCAAGGCCTTTAATGCCAGGAAGAGAGCTCAGTCAGCTAGTATTCAAGCAGAACTACACACCACTGAAGAGGAGCTGGGGTGGGTTTTGGGAAGATCTTCCACAATTCCTTCCTTGTCTTCTGCCCTTTGTCCAGCTTTGGTCACTTCTGTCACATGCCAGATATTGGACAAATGAGAAGCATGAAGAAATCACTTTTGTAACAAAATTTATTTTTGCTCTGTGGATACAAATCCCAAACATCAACAAACAAATTCCAGTGGAAAAATACCAGTCATTAACAATGAAAACTTTTATTATTATTTAATAAATAGAACTTTGGCATTCAAAATTCTAGCTGTAAACCCTACTTTAAAAAAAAATTACAAAAAGAGGCAAGAACAACAAGCCTAAAGCTGAGCCAGCCAGTGGCTCCTTTACTTTTTACAATGAACACATTGTGACTAAGTCATGACAACTCTATTTACATATGAGAAAGGTTCAAAAATTGAACCCAATTTACAAAACCACCAGTCTTCAGGGACTGATCCAGTACATATGTCAGCTGTGCTTTTAAAAGATAGCTCCAGACACTCCTCCCCACTGAACTAATGATATACTGTAATTAATATACACAAAATAAACCCATTATGATTTGAGTTTCCTGCTCATGCTTCATATTCAAAAAAAGCTGCATACTACAACCAGCCTAACATTCAAAGTGTACACCTAGTACCTAGTTTAAGTACGTCTGTTTCTAGACATTATGCGAGAGTTCTTACTACAAAAGCTTATAAACAAAATATCGGCAGGTAAGAGAAAAACAAGGTGCAGTCATCAGCATCCTAACAACTTATCTAAAGTTCAAGGGGAATATACACTTACTTCAGGCAAAAAAGGCACAAAGGTATGCAGCTGTGGAATTAATATTGCTAATGAGCTACCGGAATATATCACCCCTTTAGGTAACAACCATTGATTTGTTTGCAGTCTAAGAATGCAGATTAGTTCAGAAGATCTTTTCCTCACTCATTACAGAACTTGTCACATCAATGAGAAGAGCCTGATTATACCTCTAACTCCACCTGCGTAACGATAAGGACAAGAAAAACTGGAGCAAACTACGCCCACGCAGAGTGCCATCGCTGCCCGTGCTACGGCAGCAGGTCGTGCAGGAAAGGGTTTGCTTTCTTTGTTTCCTTGTGCTCTTACCCTGCAAGAAAAACATCCAAAAAAACATTTGAAACAAAAGTCGGGCAGTGAGGGCAAGGAAGGAAAGAAACCTCTTGAAGCGAAAAGGACAAAATTTCAGCTCTTGTAATGACTTCACGGCCACCGGCAATTTCGAATGCTGGAGCCCAAGTGGGTGGTTACAGCAATCTCTACAATTTCACACAACTATCACACTACAAAGCTGCACAGTGGAGGCTAGCAACCTAAATCACGTTTACACAACTGAGCTGCGTTACTTCTATATAGTAAATACATAGCATCATCTATAGCTTGTCCGAAGACAGTTACTTTCCAAGTCTTTTTCAAAATACATTCTTGAATACAGTAGTTACTGTAAATATCTTCTAAAGGATTGTATAAATTCAATCTGAAACTATACAAAAAATAACTGTACAAATTTGCTGACAGCCAGAACAGCACAGTATCCATTCATTTAGCAGTTGTTTTTCAGCCCTTGAGATTGTCTAATAGCTACAGCAAAAAGTTGTCATGACTAAATCTAAGCAATTCCAACATTAACATTCATTAATCAATTCTGTATTAAATATGCTGAATGAGACCACACACACTACATTTTAACCAGTTAAACAATCATGCATATCTTAGACAAAGCTTATTCCATTTAGAGGCATCCATAAACTGATGCATATATAGTAATTGCTACTACTATAACAGGCCAAATTTTAAGAAATCAAAGAAAAATACTGCATCACCGTAAATAGTCAATTGGTAGTCTGCATCTTTGGCTCATACATCCATCATTTACCTCCCTACTTTAATTTGACTGAGGGAGATAAACTCAGGGTTTTTTAAAATCAAGTGCTTTGAAGTCAACATAAATATTACAGGTTCTGTAATAAAAATATTACAATGCAAGATTACAGCACTGCAATCAAAGAATTACAAATAAAATGGGACCTCCTTCCTGAGGGACTTCAGCTAATACTTGAAAAGCATAAAAGCTCCTGAAGTGCTTTGCAAATACAAATTACTGATCTCAACTCTGCAGTACAGTATCACCATTTAACAGGAGGGACAGTGGAGGCACACCAGCCAAGTGACCAGCTTAATAGTTCAAAGTGACTCAAAAAAACCTCCTGCTCCTCTCTAATTGCTCTACTAAACTCCTTGTTATTTCCACCAAATTTAGAAAAATGTGTTGCTTGGTCATTTTTTATAGGTGCAACATTGCCATCTAAGGAAATAATAACATGCAACTTAGGTGTTTCCTTTCTCCCTATTACTTCTAGTTTGTTATCTAAAATGCTATTGTTGAATTCTGATACAAGACAGATGCCATAAACTGGAGACTATTACTTCACTGCAGGGCCAAAACCAAAGGAAGGAGCTGAGGCCCTAGTCACAAAAGCCAATACTGTTAGAGGCACAGAAAACTCTGCAAGCCCATTTGTGCAAAAATCCTTGTTTTCCGTTTTGCATTAGTATAAAAGTACAGCTTCAAACCTACAGAAAGAGCATAGAAATTTAAAATAAGATGGCCTTGGTTTTTACCTTGAAGTAGAGACACTAGGCAATTTCACTTGAGATTTCATCTAAACACTGTTTTAGTGCTCACAGGAGCTGAACCAGTCAGATTAATCTATCTGAAAACACCATGTAGCAATAATATAAATAGCAACACTATTTTTCACAAATTAGTCCATGTGTAGATTCAGGATAGAGAAAACTGTCAAATAAATAAGTCCATATAGCTAAAAAAAAATTAAATCACTAAATTATAAAAACAACATTAACGGTAACCGTTTAACAATGAACAGAAAGCAAAACATCACCAAGTTAAAACTGGTAACCAATCTACATTGCTGTATCATTTTTTTGTATTAACATAAATATAATCAGAAAACTGAAGATACTAACACTTTTGCCATAAAAATGTTACCCTAGGATTTACTTGGTTCTAACTGCTAAGCTTTCTAAGAGACCTCTGCTGTTAACCACACTACGGGTCAGTTGACTAACTTGCACCTTAGTCATTTGAAACTTTCTTTTAATACCATTTATGTAACTGATGCTCATACATTTTCTTAACAATGTGATTTGAGAGCGGTTTTGCTCTTTGCAAGTTTTTGTTTCCTTCAGTTAAATATTATTTTACACCATGCATAACGGTGCAGCTAACTTGCAGTAAAGTTCCAGGAAATTAGAAGCGTTAATATGTCATCTGTCCCACAGGAGTGAAACAGCACTGCCAAGTGACACTCACTGAATAAACTATGGAACATGATCTTATTTTTTTAATTGCTTCCTACATAAATGGAGAAATCAAGAATTCCCAAACAATGTGGAAACTTTTGCAGTCCTCAGATAACCGAGTATTCAATACTGCTAAGTGGTAACATTCTGTTCTGAGCCCTGATTTTGCCAAGTGCCAAACACTCGTTTTGCAGCTGTGGTAAAAAATTATTGAGGTGGTTCACAACCTCATCAGAGGCCTTCAGGGATGGAATATAGACCAGCCACATTTTAAAATGGAGATGACCTAAGGGAAAAATAAGTATGGTACAAATACTAAAATACAGTCTATTTTTTTTCTTTCTGACAGCCATGTACTATGCTGCAGTTTCATGCCTTCCAGCTTCTCTGGGTTTGTCACAGACTTCATGTTATTGAAACTTCTTACAGCAATGTGACTGTGCTTAAAACAATTTGATAGCACTGTATTTTATGGACTTCATCTGCATAAAGGAGTTAAAACTTGGTTTTCTTCTGCTATTGGGCAACAAGCTAGACATCCATTACTAAAACCAACATCTTTCCTATATCAAATTTTTTAGGCAACTTGAAGAGCAACAACTTCTTGTAATGCTCCAAGATTGTTCCAATTGCAATTCCTAGAGTGAAGTGCAGATGCAGAAGCCTCTGGCTTCACCACATAAAGCTATAGGTCCTTCGACCCTCTGCTGTAATTTCAGAACACAGATAATGCCATACAAACCCTTGATGAAGGAAAGGACCAGAGAGTAGTAGTAGCACGGCTGTTTTGATGCTCTGATTCCAGAAACTAGGTGAAGTAATAAAATTAGCCCTAATGAAGGAAACAGAGTATCCAACTGAATCATTCTTCACAGCTTGTTCCTACATTCAGTAGTTTGGAGAAAAGATTTCTTGTAGTTTGTACCACTCCGTTCAAATGATGACTCTCCTCTCCCCACCAGACTCCCGAGATTAAATATTCACAATCCTCAGAGAGATGCACATGCGGTGCTATTTGCAGTCTTCCAATATGGCTCCTTAATAGAAATGCAAAGACCTGTGACACAGCAGCATTTAATAAGTCATTTGCTACTAGATGAAATGTTGTCATTGAGTAATGCAATTGTCCCCCATGTCCTGAGCGTAACGGTCCGATATAATAGTCCTTAATTCATCAATATCCTTTCGTAACTGACAAACGTCCAAGAGCTTCTTCGAAAGAGTTTCTGTGCTGTGGTAATTTTCATTCTCTTCAGCTGAACAGCTCAGCGCTACAAAAAACAACACCCAAGGTTAAAGCTCTACCAACTGTGCTCTGTGAATACTTTGACTAGTCAGTCCCCCTTGAAATAAGGGGTAGGTCACTTTAATTTAATTACATCAAGACAAATCATGCTTTAGTATGATGAAAAGCCAACAAAATGTGGTACCGTGTGAACTTAAAGTCAATTCAGAGCCCATCAGTGCTTCTCTGAAAGAGAACATGCTTTGCTGTTTGCACCAAGATCTAGACTTACTAAAGTCTGATGGATCTCAACAGCAGTGAAAAAAACAGGTAGAACAGCCATTTCCTAGAGATTTTGGAGGTTTCTATAGCCACTCAGAAAAGAGGGATAGAAAGGCTTGGGAAATGAGGCCATATAAGACGACGAGATAGTACTACAGATGTACTGCACTATTCACCCTGTTGGCTGATGATGGCCTCATGGACTTTGAGACTGGCATACACTGCACTTTCCAGTACTTCAGGGGGTTACAGTGCAGATGAGTCTGTGTGGCATGTAGTAGCTCTTGCTGCACAGGACACTGTACTTTTACCTTTCTACCTTGCTGATGGTCAAACCAGTCTACCTGATTAATTCTAATTAACACTCAGAAAACAACAGAATATGATACATTCAGGTCAAAAAAATGTAATTTTTTATTAAGCTTGTTAAAAGACAAGACCTAACACAAACTGACTATGCTGAAGCTTTGTCTGACTGGCCTTAGGGTGTGCTTCTCATTTCCTGGTAAAGTTTAACAGCTTAGTAAGTGCTGAAGACTAGATGTGCCATTAACAGTACTGGAGATGGAGCTGCCCAGCACTAGGCTTATCTAATACATGCAGACACCCTCACCCCCCACCCCCAAAACCATACATACACATGTTCAAACAGTAGATGTATTTTCCTACCACTTAACCCCAAGGGCTTTAAAACAAAAACACGTGATGTAGCCACACCAGGCATGCTTATGCCTCACCTCTCTCACAATGAGTTTATAGGGCAGAACACGTTTGACAGAAAAGCATCCATTGACCCTCAGGGTGACTGCAGTGTGTCTTAGGAGGGACAGACACCTGGCTACACACCTTTCTTTTCTAGTGGGATGAATATATCCATGATTGGGTCCATATGAAGAGCCAGCTACCTTCTCTCCTGACTTGGCAAGGACCTGTGTAGTCATATGCATTTAGCAGCCCATGTGCACTAAAAGCTCAGCTTTTCCAGAGAGCTCCAGGAGTACACTTCATGTACAACTGCTCCAGTTGCATAGCAAGGGGGACACCGGCCTGTCCAGCTGGCAAGTTCGAGCATCACTTAGCTAAACTGTTACTCCTCTGTGTCATAGAATCATAGAATCATAGAATCATTAAGGTTGGAAAAGACCTCTAAGATCATCAAGTCCAACCGTTAACCCAACTCCACCATGCCCACTAAACCATGTCCCTAAGCGCCTCACCTACACGTCTTTTAAATACTTCCAGGGATGGTGACTCAACCACTTCCCTGGGCAGCCTGTTCCAAGGCCTGACCACTCTTTCAGTAAAGAAGTTTTTCCTAATGTCCAACCTAAACCTCCCTTGGCGCAACTTGAGGCCATTTCCTCTCGTCCTATCACTAGTTACTTGGGAGAAGAGACCAACACCCACCTCGCTACAACCTCCTTTCAGGTAGTTGTAGAGCGCGATGAGGTCTCCCCTCAGCCTCCTCTTCTCCAGGCTAAACAGCCCCAGTTCCCTCAGCCGCTCCTCATAAGACTTGTGCTCCAGACCCTTCACCAGCTTCCTTGCCCTTCTCTGGACACGCTCCAGCACCTCAGTGTCCTTCTTGTAGTGAGGGGCCCAAAACTGAACACAGTATTTGAGGTGCGGCCTCACCAGGGCCGAGTACAGGGGCACGATCACCTCCCTACTCCTGCTGGCCACACTATTTCTGATACAGGCCAAGATGCCATTGGCATCAATAGTGTCAAAACACTATTAAGCACTGGAACGACAACATCACTTACATCTGATTCCCAGCAGTAAGGAAAGGTTAGGCTCCTTGCCCTGAGCTCTCTGGGTAAGAATACTGCACAGTGCTTTCAAGTCAAACAAGCAATGGGACATTTCCTTGAACAACTGGTCTGCTATAGGCATCTTCTCAGATACTGGCTGCCTGGACTGCTCCACCTGCCGCATCTGCTCCTTCAGGGAGGCATTCTCTTCCATCAGTCTTTGGTTCTTTGTGAAAAGGAAACAGGAAAAAGGGGAAAGTTAATCTGCAGCATGCACTGTAGCAGAAAGTTTCCTGTTTCAAACCACAAACAATATAATTAAAAAGAATTAATTTCCATACATGTAATCAGTATTTCTGTACCCCTCTAAAGAATGGCAGATAAACAGCTTTTACATGTCTGTCTATTTCATGTTACCACTGCTTAGCAGCCTTCACCCTTGAAGTTCTCACTTTCTGAGGTAGGGATGGTATTGTCACATTATTATATGTCTGCGTGGCAGCCAGCACAGTTAAGTACGTGATTAAGCTCATAAAGCCCTACCATGAGATCTTATAATCATTCTACAAGGTTCTTCCCAGCTGGTGTGGTCAGGGGTTGGGTTTTTGGAGTTTTTACTTACTTCAGAGAGAGTTTTATTTAACTGCTCTATATTCCTTTCTTTTTCTTCAAGCTCATTTGTCGTCTTCTGAACTACCAGCTTTTCTTGCAAAAGCTTCTCTTGCATAGACTAAATTGAACGAAAACACAGGTAATGATTTAAAATTTTTGTACTTTATATTAGCACTGACAAAAAATGCATCCTCAGTAAATTTCTAAGTTTCAGTTATTTACTGCTTTTGTATTAATTCTTCATTTTTTATTTTCTACTATGTTCACCTGGTGATATTCAACTGGACGCCAACAGCTCTCTGTATACTAACACAGCTATTCTAAATATCTCAATACCCTTTAAATAAGCAGTATCTGTTTAGAAACAAAAAGACTGTATGTATGCAAAAAGTTACTCCAACATGGAATGCACGAAATCTAAAATAACCATGCAATATTTTTTATTCTAACCAAATAATTTAACTTGAAATAAGCAGAAGATTAATGACAGCTAAGCTTCATTTGTGCAATTCCAAGTTGTAATTGAAGATTTTTTTTTGGCCTCTATTTTCCACGAAGACTATATGATAGGGCTTCCTACAACCTTTCGCAACACAGAATTCCCCTCACCTTCCATAAAGCCTTTGACAGTTGATGCAGAGCAGCAAGCTCTTTAAAACCATTCACATAAAAGATAAATCAGAACAGTCTATACAACTGTACTGTGCTGAAAAAACAACTGCAGGCAAAAAAAGTAACTTACTTGTAGTTTATAGTGTCATTTCTAACAGACACAATAATTACTATTTTCAGTAATGAAAACAGCAGTAAGTTTCTAGGATGCTGTTGTACTTAAGTATTGGAGCTTTCCATGGCTGACTTCCAGATCAGTCACAAGCAGCAACAAACGAACAACTGCTGCAACATGGAATCAGCTGCTGTCAATTCCCCAGTTTTCACCAACAGAGTTGAAACTGAGAAATCATAAGATATTTCCAAATTGGATTTTTTTGGGTGAATTCAGCATGACCACAGGGGTCTTTTTTGTTAAAAGCACTCATATTTATTCCACTGGTTGGCTTTTAGATCTGTAGATATGTCTTTCAAGGTCATCTGGCAAAATTCAGAAAGAGGAATACTCAAAACATCTTAACTGAATAATAATAACAATTAATTGTGATTGTATAAACTCCTGATGCTTTAAAACAGAGAGATCTTTTCAGCTTTCATGAAGAAAAAAAATCCTCTTTTGTCGTTAATGGTATTACTCACAAATCCCATGCTGTGCTGGCACAGTGCATATAAAGTGTCCTCCCCATCCCTAACTCAGCACATTAATATGTAAAACCTGTTGCCCAATTTCAATTATAAGATGCAAATCTGATCCCATCATGCTCAAAATACAGCTGGAGCACTGGTGACAACGGTGCATGCCTTGGCACAGTTTTGATTGTAACCTTCCACAGAGTGGAACCAGAGACCATGATGGGGGGAGGAGAAGTTGCATTTCACAAACTGATGGCTCTCAATTTATGGAATGACAATGTCCCAGAAAAGTGTTTTTTCTTGAATCTCTGTAGGAACAATCCTAATGATTCTTCTTCCAAAGCAGAGAACTCTCTTGCAAGGAATAAAATAAAATGCTATAGAAAGATCAATGTAACTCTTTAGTGAGTAAAAGATATGTTTAAATCGCTGCACTATGACTCTGCAACCTTATTCAAAGACAGCAAAAACCCCAAGCTTCCCACTTGACAGAACCACAGCAAATTGTGTCAAGCTATGTTGGTTTTGGGGTCTTAGGAAAACAATTTCGTTTCAGAAAAGCAGCCAAATTTACTCTTGTGTGAGTTGCTCCTAAGATGTATGAAGAATGGAACTTTCAGGTTACCAGTACTGGGGATTGTAGCACATAGGAGACTATGTCTATATACAGGCCTGCTCTTTACCATATATGTGGCCTACTGAGTGGACGAGAAGCCATTTAATTGACTTGCCAACTATAAGAATTATTAGTGCTGATGAGAAGGCAGGGAGCAATGAGAGGCAAGGCAGGGCTGACACTGAGTGGAGTTTTTAATGGCCTGGCCACTCACGGGAGGTGTGCAGCCTTGACAAGATTTCCCAATGCCTTTAGCTCAACGCTGCACAAGCAGTGAGAAAAGCCAGTACTTTGTCATTCCCTTTGCAAAACTGGAAAACAATGGTGCTAGAATTTACACACTTAATATAGACTTAAAAAAACTCCACACTTTATTTTCATGTAAGTAGTTAAGAATCAGCAGACAGAACCCAGAAATGACTACTTGTTTTTAAAACTGTTTTCACACACTTCACTTGCTTCCCAGTTCACCCACACCATGCCCCTCAAAAGGAAGTGCTGAAGTAACGTGCATCCTAAAGATAAGCTGTGCGAGAAAGCACAGCTTCAGACTCCAGTGGGAGGAAGGGGAGGAAGAAAGAGGGCTCTGCTGCACGTCAAAGGAAACACCCTGGGCCGCGACAGGGCAGGAAATAGCTCTGCTTCAGGCATTTCCTTTGTCGTGCTTGCAGATGAGCAGAACCCTCAGCGGTGTTGAACCATCTTCTTTAGTTTTCTTTAAAATACTGTCTACTGAGAAAAATGGCCATATTGGGTCAGACTGAAGGTCCCTCTAGCTCTGCCTGTCTGCAGCCAGACAGAAGATGCTTAGGGAGGGGAACAGGGTAATGGAGTAATAGCAGGTGCCCAAAACATCCTGCCAGCTTCCAAGTATCTTCAAATTTTAATGGTCTTTGATGCACTTCTCTTCCATGAGCAAATTCAGGGACACCCAGAGCCCCTGTTACCATAAATGCAATAGTACTACTGCTTAACACGTTTCATGTTCGTTTCAATGCCAGACATTAAAAGTTTGACTGTGCAGCCTTCCTGAGGGTGGGTAGGTGGTGGTGAAGACAGGTTCAGAAATACTACCTTCCTCAGTGTATTTTCAGAACTACATCTGCCACTAAACTTACATGACTATGCAAACTACTCCAAAAACAACATCTAGAATACTCCAAATAATGTGCATATGTTCAGCTCATGAGTTGCACCGTTTAATGGGAACTACTAGAAGTGGAAATCAGTGTTTACTTTTAAAACATACACCTAACATATATCATTCTCTGCTACCCTAATCTTAAAGCTCACAAAAAGCACATGTGCTTACCAGCTTGGCTGAGCCCACAGTGCTATGATTTCCCAGTTGCTCATAGTGTACTTCACCCTTACTTTTTTCATATGCTTTCCAAAGTTACAATTTGGTGGCTTTACTCCCAGTCTGGCACAGTTTGGGTTTATCGTGACTGACAGGATTGACAAATGTACTTTGGGTAACAGAGGCATCGTACAATCTGACTCATTTCTACTGTCTTTTTTGTACCAAAAAATGTTACTTTTGTGATATCTAAATTAATCATGTAAATACGGATTTTTTAAATGCCACTCTCTTCTATAATTTTTCTCTTTCTGCAGATGTATTATGTATGCTGCATGACATCTTGTCAAGACCAACCAGAATTTTAATCCCTCACAGTCAGGAGAACAAATCAACCACAAATCAAGCAAAACCATACAAGGAAGATCAAAATCATTCCACCACGATTATGAGCAAATAGAAAGTAGTACTGCTTCATACACTGCTGCCTGAAACACAATTTCTTTGTTTTCAGCTTGCAAGTTAAAAACAATGAACTGAAATACATTCTCAAGCCTAAGTTTACAATGTGGCAGAAGACAGGGAATAAAATGAGATCTTCTGAGCTGAAGATAAAAAGTATTTCTATGCTCATAAGGGATTTCAGTTTCTAATGAACTAGTTTTCAATGCTTCCCTGGGAACAAATGTGGAAGGCCAGGGAGATCAAGGATACAAAGAAGCTGCTGTAGTCTACAAGTAATTTGAGGGCTAACATCGTTTTCATATCTTATTTCCTGTCCTTATATAAAATACCTCAAAAGAGGAGAAGTAGGAGAGAGTCCTGGAGAACAGAACACTACTCTGTTCACAGACTGTCACAACTACTCAGCATTTCCCCAGACTCAGCTCCCTAAAGTAATTTCAGACTAAGCACAAAACACAGCCATCTGTATAAATGTGCACAAAAATCACTAGTCTCAAGATAAAGGTGATGAAGAGAAAAAGATCAGAAAGTTTAGGAAATATGAAAAGATTTAGGTTGGTGATGATACATTTAGGAGAGTTGTGCATATTTCTTGTAAGCATAACATATACACATAGTATATATGTAAATAATCTTAACTAAACTATGAAGAGGGACAGAGAACCTCAGAAAGGTTATGTAGTTCGATTTGAACTTTTTTTTAAATTATGAAATATCCAAAACTACATTTGCCTGTGTCACAGTTTTGCATGTAACAGGCTGCTCCATGAAAACATCTCAATTTGATAAATTTTGTCTTCTTCAAACCTAGAGAAGCTTAAATGACTGATTTTGCTTTTCAGTTAACAGACATATGTTATGTTGCAACTTAAATTCCCCTACTGCTTCTCTACAGATGTATTTAATACACTGTAATTTAATCAAGCAAAAATATGGTTGTCGACAGGAATCAAGCCTGCTATTTACCTGCATGTAGAGAAAGGAAGCCGTTTAATGGTGGAAGACAACTTCAACAGCTACAAATAAGCAAACTGGCTCCAGTGTGCAAAGTAGAAACAAGAAAGCACATTCTCTTAGCAAGTTATGCAAGCAGTTTTGTGTCTCTTCATTAGTTGGATTCTAGCTCCACAGAGTGCTCCTTTCCACTTTGGAAGGAGCAGGCATTCAGCTGATTATTTACTACCATTTTGTTGTTCTTCCAAACCTAATGCACACAGAGCCAAAGCAGAAGCACCTTCTCAAGGGACAACCCTGTAACTTCAGTCTTTCTGGAGGGCAAGGAAGCAAATAATGTGGAGACAAATGCCAATCTAGAAGAATGCAGAAACTAGAATTTATTGAATTTGGCTTCAGTATTTGCTGAAAACAGATGTTTGTTTGTTTGTTTTTTTAAATGCTCAGCTTTTTCTAGAGCAAGTCATACCTTCTTCCTTATAACCTGTATAATGTTTCCTTTTCTCCACAACAAACACTGGTCACTAAGTGCCTTTCAAGTACCAGGAGCCTGATGTGTTAATCCGATCCACAGAGCTGCGACTGACTGCCAGCTGACAATCTCTGCTGTCTTGAAAAGCCCTTGGCTCCAAGCTAGGTGCCCAAGATCCGCCAAGAGAGTTAATATATCTGAGTGACATGTCAGAAAGCAGTTGAACAGGGACCTGCTTAAACGATGTGAAATGTAAAGTGGTATGGTTTAGAAAGGCACCTGTCTCTACTAAGGATCTCAGCAGTGAAGCTCCTAATCAATATCACTTTTGGTACTTTGGATGATCATCTGAACCCTGAAGTTGGATGGGAGGCTTCACTGTTACTTACAGAGGCAGTCCTCACACTTGAAAGAGGCAGTTCTGATAAGACATCCACTACACTAGCAGAATAAAGATGCTACATAGCAACAGTTTTTCACTTTATGATGAGTATCGGCAAAGTGCTAAACCATTCAAACATCAATAACGAATACATTATGAGCCTGCAAGAGAACACAGGTCAACTATAGGCCATAAGATTAAGTTCTTGGCATTTCTACCTTTGCCTCCTATTTGGGAAGATAAAAAGACAAAATTCCAACTTTAGTAATGTTATCTTTATGAACTAAAAATGGACAGAGTACACAACAGAATATACACTCTTCCTTACCTGCATGTCTAAAATCAGTCCAGCTATCTGATTTTGTTGATTCTCTATGACCTAGAATATAAAATTGAGTAATTTAAAAGGCTTGAATCTCTTCAGATCCTTTTTTAAGAATCAGCTTACAGATGTGTAGCCATAGATTTTAAATGGAATCTTTGAAAATGTAAATGACAAGACAGAGTTTAACTCTGCTAGAACAGGCAATTCATGCAAAATAAATGTACTGTACAGAAACACACAGGTATTGAAAAGAAATCTGAATTAGCAACAAATGTGTAACTCTTCAGTGAGATATTTATTTCTAAAGTAAAAAAATAAAGAAATGCAGAATTCAAGGTTAAAGATGCCACCAACAGATCATTTGCAGACTAACCTTACTGGCTTTCTCATTCTTTTCTTTCAGACATTCATTCTCACTCTGAAGCTGTTTTGTGTCCAACATGGGAAGGCGAATACCATCTTCCAGGCATTTTTCTACTTTCTGTTGTAAACTGCCATTCAACATGAAAGAAAAATTAAGTGTGCTGACAGAAACCAGAAGGGCTGTGCATTCTAGTGAAAAATTAGAAAGTTGCACCATCTTCCAATCAGAACTGTAAAACCGTATCTAGCAGAATCCAGCTTTATGAATGAGCAAACCAAGAGTGGATGAATGATGCAAAAATCCTAAACTACTGAAGCTACCGTGGCACTGACAAGAACAGATTCATGCAGGAATGGTTTTATGGGCCAGATTCTGTGCTGCATCTCCCAAAAGGTACAGCTCCAGAAGTACAGCATAGGGAAGAGAGGGCAGAGAGGAGCAAAGGAAAGCTTTATGGTGTTCACAGCTGCTCTGTGCTACTGTGGGAGACAAAGCCAGCACCAGAGGAGCCTTCTAACCTCTCAAAGTTACAGGAGCTTTAAAATCAGACTCTCTCACAGGCGCACGTACAACTCAAAGCAGAGTCCAGAATCAGAGGTTGCACCGAGTACTGGTGGCCTATCCTTCATGTCCTCTGTGACTTGTAAGAGGGAGCATAAAGCCACTCCTGCCAGCTGGGCCCGCACAAGGGCATGACCTTCAGACCCTCTGTTGCTCAACTCAAGCTCCTAGGTGTAGCTAGAGCCTTTGCCTGCTCACTTTCTCTCAGAAAGGAAATACATTTTATTAGTGTTAATCTTGCTGTCTAATTTAGAAACCAGAGGCCACCTCAACTATTTGTAGGCTTTCAGAAAAGACAAAATGATCCCCCTCTAGATTCTGAGGGCACGAAGAAAAAAAAGGCCTTTCATTGGTAAGATGGAAACAATGTGTCAACAATTTGGCTGGCAAGGTGTCCCAACCAGCTTGCCTTTCATCATGGAAACACTTTCAGACTCCTGTGGCATGCACCTTTACCCAATGGAGGGACAGTGAACTGTAGTAACATCCACATAAATTATTAAAAGTTACTCCCCCCTGCTTACCCCGCCCCCAACTTTTTTTAAAAATAAATGTTTAAGTAGCTCCCCTGATCTAAAATGTACCATAGTAACAATATCTCCATGTCTCATCTGGAATCTTCTCGTGGATATCCGTCCCGTTTGTTTTTTCATAGTTATGCAAGTTCAACAACAGCAGATTAGCTACAGCTAAATCCCCCTGTAAATAACCCCACCCTCAGTGAAAATATAAGAAACGGCTACAGTTTATTGAAATCTTTGACCCTTCCCTGATATACCCTTCAGCCAATATCCAGGGAGCTTTTCCACAGCTCGTGACAGGGTTAGTTATCAAATAGGAGTGCTGACAGCTTCTATACAATGCCCCTTTGCTGCACGTTTATTCTATCCTCTATCTGGCAGCAGGCTATGATGGCATTGCAGCGCTGTCCCACATCTTTAAAGGAGGATAGTGAAAAGTGTCCTAGGCAGACTCTTCTCTGTAGTATTACTTGCAACTTGACACAAATAAAAATCTTGTAGGATTTTCTATTGCATTACACTGTCATTCTGCACAGTAATATGTTTATGCCATGAAAAATCATTAGCATTGTAATAGATTAAGACTGCAAATAACATTAGGTTTTGACACCAGGTGGCAAAGTACACCCGTTTCAGGGCACAGCCTAAGCAGCTGTTCTTACCTCTGTACTGTTGTGACCAGCTCTTTTTCTTTTTTCTTCTGACACACCAGTTGCAATTCTCTCTCTCTGCACTGCGATCGGGCCTCTCCGAGCTTCTTTTCTAACTCAGTCATAGTTTCTTGAAGTTGCTTGTTCTTCTCTTCTAGAATTTGCAGCTAACAGAGGTTACATTAGTCAGACACGACGCCACATTAGCAGGCGGCCTTGCGGCAGGCCACAGCCTTGCAGTTACCTTCTGTATAATCTTAGGCCCATTTCACTTATCTGAGTATGAGAAGCCCTAATAGCTAGTGCTTTCTAAAACATTGAAATACTTCTCTTTCTAAACAGATAGGGAAAAAATACATGTTGAAACAGTAAAAGATTTGACAACAGATATTCGGGAGCTCACTTGTATTTTTAAAATGTAAAACAAACTCCCTTTACCTTACCTGTTTAGTCTGCCCTTCTATATCATCCAGCGTTGGTAGGTCAGCCAGATATTTTTCTAAGGTTTCAATTCGTCTTTGTTTTTCTTTGTTTTGCTCAGACTCTTTCTGGCATTTCTTTTTCAGGCTATTAATATATCGGTCTCTAGTTTTAAGCTAAAAGAAAGTAAGAGTACATGTTTTATGATTACAGTGAAAAATAAACCTGCTTTGGAAGCAGAGGATCATCACTTTTGAAGAATTGTACTCTCTGCTGCATGAAAAGGTTGGTTACTGCAGAAAACAAAACCAAAGAATGATTAACCCCAGCAGCTCCAAGTCATAGACCCACACGTGACCTCAAACCACAGTTGCTTCACCTCTGCCCAGAACCCTCCATGTGCCTTGCAAACTGAAAACACGAATAGTTCAACAGTTAAAATATTCTTAATTTTTTCACCAATTGAGGTGTTCATATGCAACAAATGATCAGGAAATATTTTAGTCCGTCCTCTTCCTCTAGCCTAGGAAAACAACTTAAAACACAGGGACCAAGAACTTAACCCAACAAGAACTGGAGCCAAAAACCTGACTTTGATGCAGTCTGACAATTACATAGAACAGAATAGTGGCTTTTTTAAACACCTTCTCTACAGGCATCTTAACTGTCCATCAGCCTGCAAAAGGCTTTTTTATGTTGTGTTATCTTTGCTTGCATTCCTGGTACTTACTTTGCTTTACTACCTAGGTCAAAAAAGTGGGAAGGCAGGCAGGAAAAAAGACTATTTTCTAGTCATAGTTCAATTTAATAAAAAACAGTATCTCTATTGCTTGAACTAAGATGTAGTAATTCACAGATAACAAACACTTGTCACTAGAGTAAATGCCAAACGTACTTTTATTTCGGTGCTACAGACAACCATCTCACTGAGAAATAAGTGTGTGACACTGCCAATGTCAGAGCTCAGTAACAGAGCCTACTGAAAATCTTAAGTCAATAATATCTGGACAGCCTTCTATATGGGCCACAAAACTGAGGATTGCCAAAAGGCCAGAAATCTCTATATCTTTTATTTTATCAAGACCTCAAAACTGAACAAAGCTTTCAGGCTGCTTTAAAATCTTTCTGATTAGACAAAGCCCAAGTAAACCCCTCATTCATTAAGGCAAAGGTGCAACTCAGCCATGATCTTTTGCCACAGTATCTGCTTCAGAACCGCATACTCCCCCCACACCCCAAGCCTTAAGGGAGTGATATAAATACACACATGTAAGCCCATGTTGCACAGTAAGAATTGCCAGGAGTCTGACTGTTGGCTAAGTGAATCCCTTCCCTCTGTTTCTCACATACCACTAAGGATGACAAGTTGACCAGTCAGAATACTCTAGTACTTCCGTGACAAAGATTACATGGTTTCCAAATCTTCTTGTCCTGCATATATACCATGGGGAATTTCCTCTCCTGCAACCTCTCTCCTTCTAATAGCTACTGTGTTTGCCTTGGGATTTCTCCCGCCCTCTCTAAATCCCCAGCATCACCCCGAGGACTCTTTCCACCTTCTGTCACCTGAGATAAAAAAATGTTTTGGGTTTGTTTCCCCCCCCGCCCCCCGCCTTCTTCATTCACTCTTGTTATAGAGAACTGGCATGAGGAATCAGCTCCTTTTGCAGACCATGTACTTGGCTCCTAGAGCTTCCCTAGATGTTCCCTCGCTCCTGCCCAGGAGCTGCAGTGAGGAGCTGACTGCCCTCTGTCCTTTCCAGGCTGCTTGTGGCTCTGCAGACTCCATCACGCTCCCCTTCAGTCACTTCTTTTCCAGTGTGAAGATTTAATCATTCCTCCTGTGATTTTCTGATGGATATCTGCTTTATTGCCCTTCTCTGAACCTTTTCCAGTTCCAATACATCCTGTTTTTGTAATGAGGGAGACTTTCCTAGACTTCTCGCCACTCACAAAAGATGATCAAGGAAATGGGAGTGTTCCTTATGTTTTCTTTCCTCCCACCTACACCGAACGGTCACAGCTTGTCCCTTATTGTTGAAAACATACCATCTGTACACTGTATTTAAGTGTTGTATGTTAAAAACTCCAATGTCGGAAAAGATAGTATTATTTGCAAAAGTGGGGCAGACAGAGAAGTAGAAATGTATGCCAGCAACCTTAACCTAAACTTCTATGTGTTCTTTTAGCATACACTTACAAGCAAAGCTCACCTGAATGTTAACAGCAATTTCCCCACTCCTTGGCCAAATCTGGCTTTGGGCTGAAAAAACTTACCCTCTGTGAAGAGGCAGGCATTCGCTCTGAAATAACTCTACCACAGCTATTGGCAACAATCCCTCTGATCACTACAGAAATCGTATTTTTGCCCCCCAACATCAGTCACTGACCTGGAACACCAAGCCTTTGGGCTCTGGGCTGATGTCCCTATGAGCACAGCAGAGGAACTCCAGAGACGGCTGTCCGCAGGCTCAGCACCCAGCCTACTGCTTGGGTTCCCAGCCTGCCACATCCCTCCTCCTCCCTCCGCAGACTTCCCTCAAACAGAAGGGCACTAATTTTATTGCAGAAACATACGCTAACCCTCCCGGCCCTTTCTCTCCTTGAGAGCCTTTTGTTCAGTGCACAGAATGGATGGATGTTAAGGGATGAATCAGTACTGTGCAGTGAATCAGGCTCCTAGCTACAGACCATCCCGCTGACACAAGCACTGCTGCACAAGTCTTCACCACTGCCACCACCCACAGCAGCAGTTCCTACACAATGAGGAACACAAGCAGTAAAAGCTGAGACAGGAGGAAGCATCAGCATCCAACCTCTTGCCCTTCCTGAATGTTACTCTTAGTGAAAAACATACTGCAGGGTTCATAGGAAATGGTAAGGCAGAATTTGAGATGAATTATGCTTTCTTCTTTGTCTTCCCACCTGCCACTTCACTGTATCACGCTGCTCCTACCCCTTGAACCTGCATTAATATAAATCTAAGCCCAGTAGTAAGGCCCAGTGATCAAGGAAGAGAAGATAACAGTGACAATGTATCCCTGAAACATTAATTAGGAACCACTTGGTCAATGGCACAAAAGGCTGTCAGGACATTCAAAACTACCTCTGGGTATTGCTTCAGCCTCCAAAGAAACGCCTTGTCAAGACAGTTCCAAGAACACAGCCATCTAAGCCCCTTCCTTGTCTCAGACTAAAGTCTACTCTGCACATCCTAGCAAAGCTACAAGAGAATCACTCCTGCTGAGAAGGCACATACAGGCTGATAAGTGCATCTCAAAGCACGAGGCCCGCATTTACAAGCCATGCTAAAAATAGGGATTTCATTTTTACACTCTATGTTTTTAAATCATACTTTATTTACTGTAATAAACACTTCAAGCTACATGAATTCTTAGAGCTGAGCAGCTTTTCTTCAAAGCAAGTTTAACTGATACCTGGTTAAAACCATCATCATGATTGCCATTTCATCTAGTATCGCTTTTCAGGATGCATTCACTACAAGTTCAGATTTATCCATTGCCAACACTTACAATCACTATCAATCTTTCTATAACAGATAGTTTAGCTACCTTTCAAAAACAGCTCAGCAACCCATATACTAAGTTGCTTTCTAGCAAACAAAACCTACACTGCTATAACAGTGTCAAAAGGAAATCTGGAACATGAAAGACACTTACTTTCTCCTCCATCTTCTTTTTCTCCTCACTAGATTTGTTTGAAATTTGTTTTACAAATTCACTGAGTTGTAATTCCTTATTCTCAGCTGCCGCAATCTTTCGCTCAAGCTCCTCAAGGTGGGATGTTGATCTTTCTGAAACGTGAGGTTGCAGTGGTGTGCTCTCATACTGCGGTTGCTTACAAAAAGAAAGAAAGTAATCATACAAATGAATGCACACATACCATCATATACTTGAGTAGCAAAGCAGAAAACAGTCCTGCATTTTTTTCCACTGTCAGGAAGGGTGGGGTTTGATTTTTCAAACATTAAAATATGTGTTTCAGGAATCTGGAGGAAAAAAAATGAAGATGATGCCACCTTTACATTCACAACACATGCAAATGAACACTGTGGGGCCACTTTCCCCCTCAGATTTATGGAGGAGGTTTCTTTCTTCCAAAAGAAACCCCTCAAAATCCAAACAAAAAGTGTTTTGAAAACAAATCACTGCCACTGCATTATCATACCACTCCCTAGGAAGAAAAACACTCTGTAAAATGGCTATGAATATATTAAAGTAAGAGATGTTCCAATCTCAAGATCCTTCTAAAGCAGAACATTAGTACTAGTCAAACCTTAGAGCTATCACACCTGAGGTGCAGAATGGTGCAGAGAAAAGTCTGAGACTACAGCTACAATCAGAAGGCAGACCTCCTACTTTCTGTCCTGTACACCAAAACCCTCCTCCCTTTATGTTTCATGCAGTTCAGTATTACTCTTCTACCTCCACTGCCCACAGACCGACAAGCACAAAATGGAAATCAGCTGCATGTGGGATGAAAAAGGAGATGCATCCCATTAGGCTTTCAGTTTCAAGATTCTTTTAATAACATAAATTGGTATATTTAAAGAAATTATACAGACAGTATTTTTAACTAGTAACATTCCTTCAGCAATGCATTAAAAGAGATTAAAGCCTCCATTAAAGGAGATTTGCATTTGTAAGTTAATCTTATAGAAGGCACACAATCAAGCAGAAATCCTAATACATTATAAACTGGTTTAACTCTTTAAATTATGAAAGATGAATGCATATGCTTTTTTGACGTGTATTATGGTATACTAAGATATGTACACTAAAATTTCAGTTTCTGCAGGTGGGGTGGGTTTTTTTGGTTTTTTTTTGTTTGTTCGTTTGTGGTTTTGGGGTTTTTTTTGTTTGGTTTTTTTGTTTGTTTGTTTGTTTTTCTTTTTTAATCTTAATCTAGACAGAATTTTGAAGTATTTTATAAAAGAACTTTATAAAAGCCACATTCCTAGATGTCTGAAAAAAGTTTCTGAATACCTAACTTCACACCGAGGCTCCACTTGAATTTCTCTCCTGTCTCACACAAACCAGATTCTCACCCGATGCATATCTGTGTTATCCCAAGGACATAATTATTGTCATGCTGAAGTACGCTAGCCAAGATCCTGGTGCAGTGTTTGTGACAGAAAAAGATAAGGTAATAAAAGGGAGACAGAAAAGCTATTTTTCTGCATATCTGCCTTTAACATTCTCTTTCTGCATTGCCTTTTAGATATGCAGAGGTTGGAGATGGGATTTGTGTGCAACAGGGTTAGCAGCCACAGTTCTCAAACTGACCTGCATTTCATGGTTAGCCTATGCTACCTCATCCTTACACTTTCTGATATTTGTGCTAGTTAGATAAAAATTAGGACAGGTAATGCCCAAAATACCATCGCACGTTCCCTTTCAGATTAAGTGTTCCCTAGGAGTACTAATCCATACCCTTTTCAGGTGTCTTGTGCAAAGGTATTCCACCAGTCTGCCTTCTCACATCTCTTCCATCTATTCTATCGATAAAATCTAACCCACTCCTTTGGGTGGTGTCTCCTTCTCCTCTTCAGAAAACCTTCCATCAATTGTTTTCAGATACTCTCTTATCAAACTACTTCATCTCCTAATATCTCATTTTGGCCTGCAGTAAACTGTGAACGTGCTTTCAGGTGTCAGTTACTGGACAATGGAAAGCTTTGCTGAAAGAAAAATATCCATCCTACCTGCAAATTAGTCATGTAAGGTTCTTCGCAGTTCACAAGATGGCTCAGTCTTGCGTGTTGAGCTCGTAATTCATTCTCCCTTATCTTCTGATGTAAATTGTTAATTTGCTGCTTTTGCCTGTAATACACAGATTTTATTTGAAAAGAAAAGGAATGGAAGAGAGATTAAAAAAACATAGATCTTAAGACTTATACTGAAGAATACTGTAACAATGCTATTTGACTATCCTGAATCTACATTAGCTGTGGGCTTTTTCCCACGACAGCCAGACTGCAACTAGTCTAGTTTATTTACTACTAGAACTGGAATCTTATCAGGATATGAGCTATTAAACTACAGTCGCCATGTAACTTTCACTTAAGCATACCCCAAGGGGTCTGCGCTCAATTGGCAATAATAAGCAAATTTTGTAGAAATACGATTTGAAAACTATCAACTTTGTAGAGGTTGAAGGCGGTTTCTGTTGTCATTTGCTCCTAGGGCCAGAAGTATAAGCAGGAAAAAGTAAACAGAAAAGAGAACAAAAATGAACAAAACCTTTATTTTACTTCTGCTTGGCCCTTCTCTCTTTGTCAGAGCTGACTTTTGACACAGGTTAAAAAGATTTCTAAATCAAGGGGAGCAGAAAGAACTTAAGAAGAAAAAAATCATAATATAGTCAGCATGGCTTTCCTGCAAGGTCTTTCTTTTTGCTTTACTTAAGACTTTCTCAGTCAACTGCTTTACATAGGATGTTCCCTACCTCTAGGGTAAAATACCGCACTGCATACTAAAACAGAATTAACCTCTTACACCAATTGCTTGGCCAGTGCACAGCAGAAACAGTATCACTATTACATCACTATTTAATTATATCACAAATTATATCACTGTTTAAATGATATAACTGCATGACTGCAATTTGAACTAGCACGACTGCAGGGCAAATACAAGCCAGGTCTCAGCCCAAGCCCACGTTACAGCCCTGTGAGATGTGCTGTACTCTCTATGGAGCGATGGGCACTTCAATAACTGACTCCAGAATGGAGCTGTCAGCACCCATCAGAAACATACATAGCTACCTTCTCAACAAACTTAAAACTAATTTTGTGCACTCCTTTAATTTCTCTTTTTCCTTTTTATTTTATACTAGGACACATTTGCATGCAAGCATGAAATTGTTTCTCAAAGCTTCACATCTAAGCATGCAACATGATTGGCTTTTCTGGAAATAATGACACTGAACCGAGATGACTAAACCAAATCTTAAGAGGAGATAAACAGAAAATACAGGTTAACTTCAAGGGAGAAGACCTGCCTGTGCACACAGTGGAAAAGCAAATCCTCTAGAAGTACAGAAAAAGATCAAAGTCGGTTTGCTTTTTTTAATTTTGGGAACAGTTGTGTTTAGGAAGAACACTCGGAAATGTTATCATGAGCATACAAAGTATGTATTATACAATCTATAAACTAACACAAAAGTTGTATTAGTTGAAAAGATGCCAATTGCAAATTTTAAGTGGAAAAATAAGATGCAAAAACCCAATTAAAGGGAATATTTTAGTCATGTACATTCTCCTAGCTAGTCATCAGCCAACTGTATCCCAATTATCTGGTTTACACGAGGAATTCAGTATTTCAAAAATAGTGAATATATTAGAAGTTAAACTTCTAAGCTATGCATGTTGCAGAAGACATGATGCATGCCTACAGAACATCTTTTTTTATGTTTCCCTACTTTCGTATCTATAAAGACTAGCAATGAATGGAAAACCAGTATAAACAAGTTGCAATTTGGTAGTACCTTAGAACAATTCACTCAATGCAATTCATAAAAACAGAGCAACTGAGTGTATTTACGTGACCGCATAGCAAGTCTTAAAACATTCTGTATCACCACAGGTGATTTTGAGGCTCCCCTTTTCTATTCCATTATTTAGATAGAACAAGCTTGAACAAATATAAAAGGAGTATGTAACACTGGAAGACTTTGTATAGTTCTGCTTGGCATCTGTACGATGCCACTACAAACAAAAAGCTTCAAACTTATTTTGGAAGAAGCAGATTTGAAGATTACGTAAAAGAATATGCTCTTAACTTGTAACAGACCTTGTATGAGCCCAAGGGCTTCTATAATCATATGAGAAAATATAAAGCCTTGATGACTTCTGTGCATGCTTGGTCACAAATACCAAAATCATTTAGTATGAGTTGTCTTAACCTACGAACAGAATTCATTTTTCATTTTTTATCACCTTATTACTTACTAGACAGACCTATTAAAATATCTTTGCCCCACGTGTTTTAAAATTATTTATCCATTTGTCATTTATCCCTTGAAGGCACTAAGTGATTTTCTGTTTGTGACTGATTGTATCTTAGCAGTGCCTTCCTTCACAGGCAGGATTTCATAGCCTGAACTAAACACTACATACAGCCTGGAGTAAATGTTTTAAAATATTTTTGGACTTCCAATGTAGTTTGAACTACATTACCATATTTCCTTTCATAATCCTTTCCCTA